TCTGAGGATGATGACTCTGAGGCTGATGAGTCTGAGGCTGATGAGTCTGAGGCTGATGAGTCTGAGGATGATGACTGAGGCTGATGAGTCTGAGGATGATGACTCTGAAACAGATGACTCTGAGGCTGATGAGTCTGAGGATGATGACTGAGGCTGATGAGTCTGAGGATGATGACTCTGAAACAGATGACTCTGAGGCTGATGAGTCTGAGGATGATGACTCTGAGGATGATGAGTCTGAGGCTGATGACTCTGAGGCTGATGAGTCTGAGGCTGATGAGTCTGAGGCTGATGACTCTGAGGCTGATGACTCTGAGGCTGATGAGTCTGTAAAGACTGGGTGGTAATGGGGAGGTGGAGGGCATGCACAACTGCAACAAAAAAAGAAAGAACCATGTTTAAAATGATGAGGTGATTGGCACACAGGGAAGGTCAACCTATGATAATGGTGATGATGATGATGTTGTTGACTGATGAAGATGATGTCTGACTCTGTGTCTCTGTCCTCAGGGCGGCTCAGAAGCTCAGTCTGTCCCGCAGGAAGAAGTCCCAGCCGGGCGCCGGGTCCACATCACCCGCTGAGGCCTCGGGGCCCTTGCTTTACACTGGGGGCTTCAGCGGGGCCCTGCAGCTGTCCCCGCCCGCCGTCCCACCATGCCTCCTCCGGGCCAGATCAAAGGTCAAGGACACGCCGGGGATGGGGAAGGTATGAAGTCATGTAGTTACCCAGAATGTACTGCAGCAGCTCAGATTCTCAGCCTTCTGGAATCTCATGAATCCAGTCCAATCCACATTGGCCGGGTGGCGGGCTTTGGGAACCGTCAGTGGGTGGGTGGGTGGAGTCAGTGGGTGGGGGTCATAGGGTCATCTGGATGAAGGAGCTTCCTGTTTGAGTATGAAGGAGCTGACTAATGATGATGATGATGATGATGATGATGATGATGAAGCAGTCTTTATTCAACCTGTTTTTTTGTCATTGCGCTGCTGACCCCTGATCGCTGCAGACATGATGTTCTCAGGTTGTCCATCTGTCCTTTTCCATTCTGTTGAGTCAGATATCTCTGAAGGGACTTGAGGGTATCTCTCGAATTTGACACAAATGTCCACTTGGCCTGAAGAATGAACAGATTAGAATTAGGTTGGTTTTGTCCATAACTGAAGAATTGATTCACTAATTCTGAGCAAACTTGACACAAATGTCTAACAGGATAAAATAATGAAGGTCAAAAGGTCAAAGGTCAGCTTGACTGTGACATCATCATGTTTTAACGTCATATCTCAGGAACAGAAGGGGAGACATTTGGTCAGATACTGAATTGGTGACTCTAATCTTGAAAATGTGCTCATTGTATAGATCTTCTGTGTGTGATGGGTGGAGTCATACAACCACAGGGTGGACTGGTGGGAGGAGTCATACAACCACAGGGTGGACTGGTGGGAGGAGTCATACAACCACAGGGTGGACTGGTGGGAGGAGTCATACAACCACAGGGTGGTGACTCTAGTTTACAGTTTAAAGAGTAAATATCATTTTTTGATTTGAAACGTCTCAGAGTCTCAAACGTCCTTTTGGAGACGTGGACCTGTCCTCCTCCGGTCTGATGTGAGAGCAGATCATCAGGATGTGGTTTCAGGCTGTAATGAGCTGTGTGTCCTCTGGGGGACGCTCTCAGGACTTGAGACTGTCCAACAGGGCAGCTGTCTGCTGTCATTATGTAACACGTGTAGAGACGTGTGTTTGGACTCAAATTCAGCTGCTGGCTGCAGATCAGACGCTCGGCTGTCAATGAGCATCCTGCTGCCAGGTCTGCTGCTGTAGATGCAGGTTTTGGTCTGTCCAGACGTGTCATTCATACATACGTGTCGTACACAGTGTTCCCACCAGTCTCTGAGCCTCTGTCTCACTGAGCTCGTCTCCTGCCGGACTGTTGGAGCATTAACCCTTCATGTACCTGAGGTCACGATGAAACATGTCCTGCTGCAGCACGTCTGCAGTTCAACAGTCTTGACTCTTCAGCTTCGTTCTCCTTCATCTGTGACCCAGCAGATTCTCCAGGATGCCACAGGAGTCTGATCAGACCTGAGGGACAGTTAACGAGCCGCAGCAGACAGGAAGAGGAAGTACATCAGTATGTTCATTAGAGTGGAGGAGTTCTGCTGCAGCTCAGACCTCAGCCAGCCTCAAGACCTGCTCATGTCATTATCAGAGGCCATACACATGCCGTGTCTTTATCTGCCTGGAATATGTGAGGTCAGACGCTGGGATCTACTCTGAGCTAATTTTCAAGGGCACAGTGGCAGGTTGTGTCTGTGGTTGGTAAGCAACCATAACCAGCACCGTATCCCAGCCTGTTAACCTGAAACCTTGAGGTCAAAGCTGATCTACTGGGACAGATGTGACGCTCTGACAGCTCTGCACTAACATGATCAGCTTCTCGTCCATATTCATCACACACTGATATTTACTGAAGAAGAAAAGATATCTGTCAGCTGTGATTGGTTGGTCCTCGTCACATGACATGTGGTGTGAGCTGCTGTGTTCCATAAGTTGAACCCAGTTTATCTCAGGGTGCAGCTGTTGCGCCCTGAACAAAAGGCCCTCAGGAACATGTGTGCGCTGCGACACCATTGCTCTGGCGTCTGAGCGCCTGCTGCACGTCTGCAATGAAAACAATGAATCTGAGGGCGCACACAGCGCAGCATGTTTACAGCTCCTATAAGTTTCAATTTCAATTTCAATTTTATTTATAAAGCCCAATATCACAAATCACAATTTGCCTCACAGGGCTTTACAGCATACGACATCCCTCTGTCCTTATGACCCTCACAGCTGATCAGGAAAAACTCCCCAAAAAAACCCTTTAACAGGGAAAAAACGGTAGAAACCTCAGGAAGAGCAACTGAGGAGGGATCCCTCTTCCAGGACGGACAGACGTGCAATAGATGTCGTACAGAACAGATCAACATAATAAATTAACAGTAATCCATATGACACAATGAGACAGAGAGAGAGAGAGAGAGAGAGAGAGACAGAGAGAGAGATGCAGGTAATGACAGTAGGTTACAACAACATTATTGAAAGTAATAATATTATAGTTATAGTTCTGGCTACTGTGGTACAATATGTTCTCAGAGGAGACACTGCAGGTGATCAGGTTTAAACTAACAGATTTCACCAGGAAACTTTCTGATTCCTCTCATTAAGACACTTATCATTATTAATGACAAGTATACTGAAGTTTGATGTTAAAATATGAAATGAGGCATCATCTCGTTAAATGTAAACTTTCTACAAACATCAGTCTGAAGTGAAACAAACTTTAAAGGTGTATTTTGGATGTTTCTTTGTCTCCTGTCTGACAGCAGTCGTCACTGGAGACAGACGGGTCAGTTCTCAGCTGCAGACTGTGTCACGTGTTGTCGCTGTAAAAAGTGTTTTATCGTCGTTTGTTGGTCATAAAGTTCAAACTGTGAGTCACAGCAGAGACTCATAAGACACTGATCTGAGACTCACCGGTCACATGAGTTCAGATCTGTAATAACAGTCTTTCTTTCTGTTTCCTTTCGCTTCATGTCTTTCTTTTATTTTTAATTTGTCTTGTTGTTTTTCATCCTGTCTCCCTCTCTCGTCACTTCAAGTTATTCCATCCATTTATTTTTTTTTACAAATTTCTAAATTAATTTTAATGTTAAATTTCTTTCTCCCTGTTTTTATTCTTTATTTTCCTTTCTTTCCTTCGTAAGCATTTTATTTTACTTTTTCTTTAATCATCATTTGTCTGTCTCATCCTCTCATTCTCTTTCATCAGTTATTTTTACACCAGCAGACGTCACCATCTTCACTCTCTGTCTCTGTGACTGAACGAAGAAACTGATTTCATCTTCTGACGATTCTTCAAATCTTTAACAACAAATATTCTGTGTTTAAAAGGAGAAAATAAATCTTTAATTTCAGCTGAAGAGTCGACAGATTTTTATTTCACATTGAATCTGATGTCATCATTATGTGTCACAGCTCAGACTCTGATTGGTCCCTGTCTGTCACTAATGATATTATTTAGGTGAAACAAAGTGACGGCGCTCCTCTTCAGCTCTTCATCACATATTCAGAGCCACAGCTGCTTCACAGACTGCAGGTGTGTCTGCTGTAGACGAGCGGCGTCCTGCGTGCGGCCGCAGTAACTGAGGAGCTGATGATTCGCTCCGCTGGCTCGCAGCAACACATCATTTAAAAACTGCTGCGTCTCAGATTGTTTTTGGCTTTATACTTGACCTCGTCACCGCCGTCGAGCGCCAACTCAGCAGCTCTGTGACACACCAATAAAAAGCCTTCAGAGAGCCACAGCACGCCACGGCGGGCTGATCTGAGATCGGATACAGCAGCTACTGCAGGTCAGAGGTCAGGAGGTCGGGACGTTGGTCACACTGTGGTCACAAACTGCTCCTGAGGGTCTAATGACACCAGCTGATGATGTCGACATTCATCAGACTGCTGACAGTGACATAAAGACACCTGCCGGTCCCCCGTCCTCTCTGATGTGGACTTCCTGTCTGTCTCCAGGTCAGAGTGATGGTCCGGATCTGTTCAGTCCACAGCAGCGAGTCTTCAGAGTCCATGTCCCTCCTCAAAGTGGACGGCAGAAAGAAGCTGCTGACTCTCTGTGAGACGTCAGCCGGAGGACAAACCGCTGCTACCACCGCCCAGAGACGATCCTCCGCCTCCGCTCCAAAGACCTTCACCTTCGACACCATCTTCACCCAGGATGCCTCACAGGTGAGACGGGACAGAGTCGGCTCTGCTTTAGTTTAACCCTCAGAGACAGATACACACCAGGAGACACACACTTCCTGTGTCCTGATGTCAGAGTGAAACTCGCTTCAGCTTCAGACACTTTACTAACCTGCTCAGTCTGTAACTTACACACTGATAGTCTGAGCTCTTCATCACACACAGTGTGTTTTTAGTGTGTGTGTGTGTGTGTGTGTGTGTGTGTGTGTGTGTGTGTGTGTGGGTCTGACTGATCAAACACACGCTGACGTTCAGCCTCCTGCTGACTTAACGATCAGATGATTCAGGTTGTGTTTCAGAAGCAGAGCTGCAGGTTTCAACAGCTGACTGTGGAGTCTGTGTCATCTCCTCTCGTTATGTCTTGATACTAACATACTGTGACATCATCACATAAAGTCTGGGATCATAACAGGAAGTAACCTACAGTGTCACACAGTAACACAACGTAATGTGGATCACAGTGACTTATTGTCACTCAGGCAGCGTTCACACCTGCCCTGTTTGGTTCGGTTCAGTTGAACTCAGGTGTGTTTGCCCCCTCAGTGCGGTTGGTTTGTGGAGGTGTGAACACGCCAAAACCAACCGGACTGAGACCTTCTTGAAGAGGTGGTCTCAGTCCGGTTCCAAAGGAACTCTGGTGCGGTTGGTTTGTGGTGAGAAGGTGTTCCGACCTGGATGTGAAGCAACTGCAGTCATATGACACATTGTTTGGGTTAAACATGAGCATGTTACAGTCCTGGAGGATTATTAATGTGCACCTCCTCCTGTACTGCCTTAATATGCACATTCAGCACATCCAATGCATCAAAACATTGTTTTCTAGTTGGAGCCGCGCCTCGTTTTCAAACTGTATGCTTTGACTAAAATGAACAATGACAGCAATATAGTCCACGATGAGCAGCGCTAAAATCAACCTGCGTAGTTGTCCCTCCATTGTGACATTAGAAAGTGTCACATTTATCTTGCAAGTGTACTCTTCTTCAACGTTTGCTTTACTTCCTGGATTTTTCCCACATGGAAATTCTGACCAATCAATAGCAGCTTTCTCACACAAGGCATTTGATCTGGTCCTATTGTAAATACTGCCGTGAGAACACAAACCAACTCTAGGCAATTATACAACTTTGGAACAACATGAGTCCCTGATTCAGACCAGAGGAGACCACTCTAGGGCTGACAGCAGCCTGAACATCAGCTGAACTGAGTCATAATGTGACATCACTGAAAATAAACAAACACAACTAAGTACTTTATTTTTTTTATTTAACCAGCAGGTCTAAAAGAACAACTTCCTGTTTACAGTAGAAGCTGGGCAGAGTCGTGGATCATCATGTGATATAACATGAGCTAAGGTATTAAATTATAATGAGCTGTGAGGTCATGGAGACGAGGCTGCAGATAATCAGTGCTGATGTTCAGTCCAACAGGACGACCTCCGGTGTGACATCACTTTTATACAAAAGATCTACAGGCACCGTTCGTCAACAGTGACGACAGGTTCTGATTTATTTGATTTATTAGATAACGTTAATAAAAAAAACTTTATGGGTTAAAAGTGACGAGACGACTCCATGAGAGCCGACGAGAACAAACATCAGGCACACAACACTGTGTATGACGCACAACGTGAAGCTCCGCCCCCTCAAACAGAATAAATCGCACAATATGGCGGAAGCTTCATTCAGGCAGAGAATTCGATCTGAGCATAGATTTTGATTAAACATGACATGATGATGTTCAATAACTAGAACTAGAAGAAAGGTTTCGTGACATGACCTGAACAGTTAATGTGACGTCACGTGTGCGAACACATCCCATCATAATACAGTGTGTAAACTTCCTCCCTGTGAGGTGACTGTGCTCTGACGTGATTGGCTGACACTAACTGGATCTGGCCCCTGATAGGCTGAGGTGTGTTCAGGGACGGTGGCAGAGGTCATCCAGTCGGTGGTGAATGGAGCAGACGGCTGCATCTTCTGCTTCGGACACAAGAACCTGGGTAAAACACTAACTGAGACACACACACACACACACAGAGTTACCTGACCTGTCACATAACCATTCTGTTGACTCCGCCCCCCTCAGGTAAGACCTACACCATGATTGGACGGGACTGCTCCACCCAGAGTCTGGGCGTGGCTCCGACCGCCATCTCGTGGCTGTTTAAGGTGATCGAGGAGCGGAGGGAGAAGTCTGGAGCTCGTTTCTCAGTCAGAGTGTCGGCTGTGGAGATCTCTGGTCGGGAGGAGACGCTCAGCGACCTCCTGGCTGAACTCTCCTCCTCCTCCTCAGGGGGGAGCCAGCAGGAGGCCCCGGGGCCCGCAGTGTCCCTGAGAGAAGACCCCCTCTGTGGATCCCAGGTAGGTCATCCACTCCCTCCTACATCATCTCTTTCTTCCAGAGGCAGCGGGGCAACAACAGACTCACCAAATACCGCTGCTTTGTCAGTGTTGGCTAAACGTAACCACGTGTGTGTGTTGGCTAAACGTAACCACGTGTGTGTGTTGGCTAAACGTAACCACGTGTGTGTGTTGGCTAAACGTAACCACGTGTGTGTGTCGGCTAAACGTAACGACACATGTGTGTGTCGGCTAAACGTAACCACGTGTGTGTGTTGGCTAAATGTAACCACGTGTGTGTGTTGGCTAAACGTAACCACGTGTGTGTTGGCTAAACATAACCACGTGTGTGTGTCGGCTAAACGTAACCACGTGTGTGTGTTGGCTAAACGTAACCACGTGTGTGTCTCGGCTAAACGTAACCACGTGTGTGTGTGTTGGCTAAACATAACCACGTGTGTGTGTTGGCTAAACGTAACCACGTGTGTGTTGGCTAAACATAACCACGTGTGTGTGTTGGCTAAACGTAACCACACGTGTGTGTGTCGGCTAAACGTAACCACGTGTGTGTGTTGGCTAAATGTAACCACGTGTGTGTGTCGGCTAAACGTAACCACAACATCAGGTGGTGGTGTTGTACTGACGTAGTGCTTTTATTTTGAAAGAGACTGTATGCAAACTGTACATTTCCTGTGAAAACAGAAGTGTATTTTGAAAACAGACAATGCATGTAACAGGCTGAAGTTGACACGGCGTCCCAGAACGTCAACAACCAACACAACCAGGGTACCTTGGACGTCACAGTGAGGATGATGATGGACGGGGACAACAGACACATGAGGACACAGAACTCCGTATTTAGACGTGTGTGTCCTATGACGAGGCGTCAGTATTTGACGAGATGAGAACATGTCAGGTCACCTCGCCTCCTTCACTGCCTCCTCTCTTCCTGTCTGACCTTGTCCTCAGCTCGGGGGACTTTGTCTCAGTCCACAACTGTCCAATTAGTCCTGACCTTCCTCCTTTTATTCCTCCTCAGTCTGTGTTATCTCCCCGGGCTGCGTCTGTCTCACACTTTATCTCCTCTCACTTTAATTTTCTCTCCACTTCTTTTTCTTTATCAAGCCTCATTCTGTCTCCTTTCAGCCGCTATCATCCGCTCGCTTTTATCTCTGAGACACTCTTCATCACGTCTTCATCACGTCTTCATCACGTCTTCATCACATCCTTCTCATTAACTCAAACTGACGTCTTCACCTGAACTTACTTCTTCTTCTGCTCTGTGTTTCAGCAGTGTTATACTTCCTGTTTCTGTCCTCAGGTTGATGGATGTTGTTGTTCATGTATCTGGTGGAGGTGGAGGTGCAGCCTGAAGCAGTGATCAGGTGGTGCAGCCTCCTCCGTCAGTCACATGTCGTCTGTGCACCAGCAGACTTCATTAAACCACCATATTCATGACGATAAGCTTCATGTTGTTCCTGCTTCTCTGGGTTCTTTATCCTCCTCACCTGACTCCTCACCCCTCTCTCCATCAGCTGCAGAACCAGACGGAGCTTCGGGCCACCAATGCTGAGCGAGCAGCGTTTTTCCTGGACGCCGCGCTGGCAGCGAGGAACAGCAGCCGGGCGCCGAATGATCAGGAGGTCCGGAGGAACTCTCACTTCCTGTTCACCCTGCACCTTTACCAGGAGAGGCAGGACAAGAGCAACAAGGCGGCAGGTCAGTGTGTGTGTGTGTCTGTGTCTGTGTCTGTGTGTGTGTGTGTGTCTGTGTCTGTGTGTGTGTGTGTCTCTCTGTGTGTGTGTGTGTGTGTGTATGTCTCTGTGTGCTTATTTTTCTGTTACGTTCATCAGACACACACACAGACACACCGTCCTGCTGACACTGATACACACTGCAGCACCAACTGTGGATTCATCCGCCCCTGAAAATAGTCCCCATCATGTTTGTCTAATAAAAACGACAGTGAGCGGCTGATCACTGATCAAACTATTGATTATTGAAGATTGTCAGCAGGAACCAACGAGCTCAGAGACACAGACAGGAAGTTAGACTCACATGTTGGTTTGAGTCTGATTATTGGATTCATTAAAGAGACGTTCGACCCGACACAAAGTGAAACTAACGTCTGACTCTGAGGTTGTAAAAACTGAGATGATGAATTTAAACTGAACCCAAAGTTGAATTAAAGAGAAATCACAGTGATGCAGCGACGCTGACGTCTGTGTGCACACAGCGAGCCCTCGGGCTGTAATAAACTCATCTGTTGGTGACTCTGCAGTCGTTCACTCTCTTCCTCCTCCTCCTCCTCCTCCTCCTCCTCCCCCCTCTGCTTTTCATTTCCAAACAAGCAGCTGCTAATTAGCTTCATCCTGATCTGCCGCCGCCGTGCTCTACACGAACATTAACGAGCAGAGAGGCTACGCTAACGCCACCTCCGCCCACGCCTACCTGTCACAGCAGTTATTAGTGTTTCACTGCTCTTGGAATAAATCTGCATGCTTAATGAGGCCTGAAGCCTTCGTGTGTCCTGCAGAGAAACTCCGCCGCTCTCAGCACTTTGTAAATCCTGCTGATGTGAGCAGCTGATGGTTCACGCCATCTGACGCTGTTAAAGAGAGCAGAGATAACAGACTGGGATCAGATCTGAGCTGCTCACACTCGTCCTGCCGTCACAGACAACACTCATCTTTTATCAGGTTACAGATGTTTATACATGTTGATGGTTAAAAACAGATTTGACTTAATGACATCAGAGCATCAACACAGCTACTGTCTGTGTGAAGATGGAGTGATGGCGTCCTGAGCAGAGAAGGAAGCTGTAATCTGAGCGTCTCTGTGGTTTGTTGTACGGCTGCACGGCTAATGGGAATATTATCAAAATCACAGCACGATCACGTCAAATATCTAAATCACAGGCGCTGTGAAGGTAAAATGTGTCACAGCAGAGTGTGATTACTGAGACTGTCACAGAACATGAAAGTTTGGGACAGACGCCGCCAAGAATCACATCATCATTTTAATATTTGTTACAGTAAATAAACAAAGGCAAGTGTCACCATTCCAACTGAATGATCGTGATGTGATTTATTTTTGGCACATTGTGCAGCCCCAGTTTGTTGTGGTAATGTGGTCGTGCAGTGTGTTCATGTTAGTGCACGTGTCTGCTGACACTGACTCCCTCGGCCTCAGGCTTCACTGCACAGGGACACGCCTTAGCGGTGATATGAGATGCACTGGGCAGCAGCATTTTGGATGCTCTGAAGAGCAGGAAAGTGTGCACGGGGAGGGCGGGAGCAGAGGGTCAAACACACTCCAGACTTTCACCCAGCAGCCTGCTGTTTGTTTCCTGTGAAACCAAAAGTAGATTCAGTTACCTGAATAACAACGTAGTGTGCTACGCTAGTGACACACTGATCAACCAAACATTCAAACCACTGACAGGTGACGTGAACTGATCATCTTGTTTCAATGTCCTGCTGATAAACCTTGCACACATCTATCGAGCAGAAACTGGACATTTCCTGTGAAAACAGAAGTTTATTTTGAAAAGACACGATGTCTTTTACAGGCATAAACTGACACAGCGTCCCTGAGGACACGTAGAGTATCATGTTTAGATGTGTATGTCTGATAATGGGACCATGTCATCATGTAAGTGTAGTCCCCGCCCTCTGGTTTCCTCCTAGTTAGCACCGTTAGCCCAGTAAGAACTGTTGCTGTAGTTTAGCACTGTTCATAGAGTTAGCACAGTTAGCTGCTAGCTGCTAGTTCAGCCAGCTTCATGTTGAGAGTTGTGTGCAGAAAACTGGTATGATCCGAATATCTCAGAGAGCCACTTTAACTTGGGACTTGTTCACCTTGACTCAGGAATTTCCTTGATTCTTTCTTGTCACATGACTCGGACTCAGCAGATCACCCTGATTTCACTCAGTATGACAAAATCAAAAAAGACCCGCCCACCTTGACTTGGGATGTACCTCAGTTTCTGGTCCTCTCAACTTGGGACTTGTTGGTGCTGACTCTGGTCTTGCGATGGGACTTGACTTAGACCTGTACTGACCTTGTATCTGATACGCAACTTCATTTGGGACTTTTTGTCCTGGAAATTGTTAGCGACTTGTCCCAGGACTCGCTGTCCTTGACCTTGTGTCTGATACAGAACTTGATGAGGGACGTTCTGCTCTGGACTTGTTAGGGACTTGTTGGGAACTTGACCTGGGACTTGGGAAACAGTGACATGTCTGAGCTCTGATGTCTCAGTTGGGGCTGTGAGCAGTCTGATATTTAACTAACCTGATGAATCAGTTATTAAAATAAGCATCAATCATGTTTCTGTCAGTGAAGCAGCCGATGGTTGAACAGCTGTCGTCTCCGTTTCTGTCCCTCAGTGTCCGGGCGGAGTCGTCTCCACCTGCTGGATCTGGGCAGCTGTGAGACAGACATCAGCAGGACCAGAGAGGGAGGCGGAGGACAGTGTCTGTCTCTGTCCGCGCTGGGAAACGTCATCCTCGCCCTCGCCAATGGAGCCAAGCATGTTCCCTACAGGTACCGGCTTGCATGTTGATGACCTGGCAGTGGTCAAAGGTCACAGACAGACCGCAGCTCGGAGACTGAATACTGATTGTGTATTTAATGGGTTTGGCTGATTAGGCGATGAATGAATCACTCAGTACAGACTGATGGAGGTTCAGTCCTCCGGATCCTTCAGCACCATCATTCTTATCATTCTTTATTCTCAGCCTGTTGTTGGTGTTTTGTCTCCTTTTGCTTTTTAAGCTGTTTAATTTTTGGATGTGTTTGGGGGGATTTCATGCTCATTTACTATTTGTGCAGTAACGACTTTTGTTAGTCCAACTTGTTCTCATTCTAAAGTTGTCAAATCCCGCCATGTGGTCAGTCATTTCCAGGTCAGACACCAACGAGATACGCCACTGTCCAGCGTCAGTTTATAACGCAACTTAAAGAGCTGTAAAGTCACTACAGGGCGGGCAGGAGGGGAGGTGGGACTGTCACCCAGGAGTCAGGTGTTCACTTCCTGTATAACTGTAGAGCCAAACCATGATGTTTCTCATAAACCTAACTATCAATCAATCAATTAATCAATTTTATTTATAAAGCCCAATATCACAAATCACAATTTGCCTCACAGGGCTTTACAGCATACGACATCCCTCTGTCCTTATGACCCTCACAGCTGATCAGGAAAAACTCCTCAAAAAAACCCTTTAACGGAAAAAAAAAACGGTAGAAACCTCAGGAAGAGCAACTGAGGAGGGATCCCTCTTCCAGGACGGACAGACGTGCAATAGATGTCGTACAGAACAGATCAGCATAATAAATTAACAGTAATCCATATGACACAATGAGACAGAGAGAGAGAGAGAGAGAGAGATGCAGGTAATGACAGTAGCTTACAACAACATTA